CAAGCTAGTATTCTTGAAAAGGACAATAAAGACTAACAACCAGTTCGGATATTATCACCGAGTTGCTTTGTTGAGGTTGACTATCCCTCCTTTAGGAATTAGTATAGATATGGATATGATTGCAACAGTTAATAGCAAACTAGCCTCAGATTAGAAACTAGCTATTATATTTGTATCAATAGTGTACTGTTTTCAACGGCTGAACTTCCAGCCAATTGACACCAAGTTGCTGAGTGAAATTCGAGCATATTCTTGCAAAAGGCTATTGAACATTCATGAATTCTATCAAACTGCAGACAGCTAAGGGGCCAGGTTCACCTTTTAAATATAATGACAACATATTCAGTGTAATCCCACAAGTAGATCTGAGGAGGGTAGTGTGTACGTGGACCTTACCCCTACCTTGGAAGGTGGAGAGGTTGTTTCCGATAGACCCTTGGCTCAAGAAGAAGCATATCAAAGTAGTTCGGAAAAGAAATAACGGAAGTGGAGAAGCGACCACAAAATACTAAAGACAGCATGACGGAGCATTATGAAAAAAAGGGAACATTAACTACAACAAAATAATACTGTAATTGAAGTACAAGAACAATAAATAGTAACAGATATCGAAGACTAACAAACTACAAGAGACTTCTACGACTACTTGAATAATAAACTTGAACAGATTAAATAATCAGCATAAGCATGAGAGCTAGAGAAGATGGTGATTAACTATGTGCTTCATTGACTGTTCATAACATTGATTGATGCAATCTATACAACAATCTTTCTCTAATGATGCATCAGGATGGGACTGTTAAAGCTATGCTTGCAGTGAAAATACAATGGACAAAAGAGTCCAGACCAGCATTCAGTAACAGCATATACCTAGCGAAACCAGACGGGCAAAGAAAAAGCAACATTTTTCTTTGAACCGCTGATATACAGGTGTCTACAAACAACAAAAGGATGATAGGTACATGTCAACTAGATTGATGACTTCTTCTCTTCTTTAATTCTGGAGACATCATTGTTTTTGCTTTCTTCAGGATTCTCAGCTTTCCTAATAGCTTCCCTTAGCCCCAACACAATGAATAAGTTGGTTAAAGTGAGCAATGACTCAGCTCCTCCATGCAACCAATCAACGTTGGACAGAGAAGTTCCATAATGCACCTTCGCTGTTCCAAAGCATGTCAGTAAGAATTACAGTTCTAAGTTAGAAGGGGCCAGTTGGCTTAGCTTTTTAAAAGTAGTTTTTAAAAGTCAAACTTCAGTAACTTTTAAGTTAAAAAATGAAAAGTAGGGGTACCTACTTTAAACATTTTTTAAGTTGTTTTTAAAATATTCAAACACTCTTGAGGGCTGAAAACTACTTAAAAGTTGGTCAAGCTAAGCTAAACACCCTCTTACACAATCAATAGATTCTTTGCTGAGAGAGGAAGTTACCGTAAATTCCAGCAGGAACTGCACAAAAGAGGTGAAACAAAAAGAACACAATGTCAAAACAAATCAAATGGAGTTAAAATGATATTACCAGTATAAAGATGTAATTTTTGAAGAAGAATATGAGGTAGATATGTAAAACATAAGCAGAGAAGCATGTGGACAAAATTTACGCACAACTACGTCTTTTATCTACGTAGGCAAAGCTCTAGGTAGAAAATGTTAAAGCATCGATGAAATGCATAACCAGTCATTAACCATGAATTGGTCAAGCACATTGAACCCAGTACCTATGCAAGGAACATATTTCAATGATTGCTCTCATCGAATTTGAACCTAGAAACAACATACTTAGTATAGTTCCATAAGTGGGATCTGGGGAGGGTAGAGTGTATGCAGACCTTATCCCAACCTTGGCAGGTCTTATCACTCTTACTACACAAAAGCAAGCAAGATGTAGAACCCCAAAAATGTAAGCTTTGGGGCAGTTTTGGATTTGGTGATGAAGTACAAAAAACCCACATAAGGGAGAGGAGAAAAAGGCAAAGAGCTGTGAAGCTATGCTCTGTGAGTCAACATTTGGTGCCCATGGAACATCAGGCAAAAATCCACACAAATCTTGCTCTTTTTTACTATAAAGTTTTCTACTTTCACCACAGTTGAGTTGTTTGGTAGTATTTCTAAAACTGATTTTTGTTTAGGAACAGTTGAAAAATGGAAAAGAATAGAAACCAAGAACAATGGGTTCTTCCAAACAAACACAATATGATGAATACTCTTAAGGGGTCGTTTGGTTGCTGGTTAGGAAGAGAATTGTTAATCTATTAAAACTAGCATAATCAATACTCTCTTTGTTTCACTTTATTTGTCTTACTTCCCTTTTTAATCGGTTTCAAAAGTATTATCTCTTCCCTTTTTGGGAACTCATTAGTTTCAACTTTCCACATGTCATGTTTAAGAGTACAAGATTAAACAACATTTTAATACATTCTACGTATTTTTAGTTTAAGACTACAAGATTCAAAATTTTCTTTACTTCCATAATATCCGTGCTAAGCCAAAACTAAACAAACAAATTGAAACGGAGGGAGTATAAAGTTTTCTACTTTCACCACAGATGAGTTGTTTGGTAGTATTTCTAAAACTGGGATTTGTTTGGCAACAGTTGACAAATGGAGAAACATAGGAACCAAGAATAATGGGGTTCTTCCTAACAGACACAATATGATGAATACTCTAAAACAATAGAATAACAGAACAATAAATATACTAGGAGAATATTGAAGGGGCTTACTTGTGGCACCCACAAAAGCAAGCAAGAAATAAAACCCAAAAAGTGTAAGCTTTGGGGCAGTCTTGGATTTGGTGAGGAAGTACAAAAAACCCACATAAGGGAACAGAGAAAAAGCAAATAGCTGTGAAGCTATGCTCTGTGAGTCAACATTTGGTGCCCATGGATCAACTGGCAAAAACCCACACACAATTCTTGATCTTTTGCTGTAAAGTCTTGTTTTTTCCCCATAGTTGAGCTGTTTGGTATTTCTCAAATTGTGGAAAAATGGTGAAGCAGAGGAAGCAAGAATGATGGGGTTCTTCCAAACAGGGTGTAAACAGTTCAGCATTTTTGCATCAATGGCTTCTTCTTTTTACTGTGTGTTGAAAAGAGACATGAAGGCTCAACCATAAGTAAATGATAGAGTGAGAGGAGTTGAATATGGGCTTGCTGGACTATTGTGAACCAATTCATAGTTGGGCTAATCTACTCAATTAAAGATGGCCCAAGAGCCTTAGAAAAAGAAGAAAAAATTAGGGAAAATTACGCAAAATGACAAACACCTCGAGTATATTCTGTAATATAGCTATTGTTTCGATTATTTTTAATCTGTAGCTATAGTTTCACGAATTTTTTCTATTCGGTTTTCTAATTGTGTAAATTCAGAATTTGTATAATCCAGTTCCTAATTGTATAAATTCAGAATTTGTATAATTCGATTATTGATTGTATAAATCCAGAATTTGTATATGCTCACCCTAGCTATTTATATAAAAAAAAACTCACAATAAATTACCATGTTTGTATATTGACAAGAGAAATATACAAATGGAATTCTGAAAAATTCCTAAATGTATAAATACATAATTTGTATAGACTTACCTTGTTTGTACATTCACAAGCGAAATACACAAGGCACAACCTCCATAGCAAACAAAACTATTGCTATGAAACGCAATTATCGAAACTATACCTATAAAGCCTTATTATGTCTATTGATTTTTGCTATTTCTAAAATTTAATATTGAGGAAATTTCATAAATAACATTAATTTGAGCCCTAATTATTGATCATAGACATAGTTTGACTAATTATTGAACGTAGCAATAGTTTACTTTAAAAAAACTTGTGATACAGTGTAGGGTTTCACTATGTATCTATTATGTTGGCTCAGTATCAAAACATACCGATACAACATGAATTGATACACTGGTACAAAGCGAATGGATACAACTTCAAGGGAATAGATACAGAGCAAAAGAAATAAAACCCAAACTCTAACGATATATTATAATTTTTCAAACTCCCGCTATTTTGGTAAATATTGCGCATATATTTACTCATGTAATTTTCCAATTCATCTTTTTTTTTTGGTGGAATACATAGACAATCCATAAACTTGCTCAATTTAATTTTTTATTTAGACACACAAACTACAGTTTGTTCTAGTTGAGCACCTAAACATGCGATAAATTATTCCTAGTAGACACTTCCAACTAAAATTTTGACAATTTCTGAGAGTATTCTCAAGTTGCTCACTACATAGATAAGTTACTACTTAAAATATGTCATTTCCTTTATTTATACTCATTAGCCTCAATAAACCGTAAAACCTCAAACTTGTTCCAAATCCAATCTTAAGATATTAAACTAGAAAACTCATCACAAAAGAGAAGAAATAAAGTTATATTTAGAAAACTTTACATTAGTCATCAACACCAGTTCTTGCATATGGAATTCTTTAACATAATCTCTTTTCTCCAACAAGAGATTTAGTTGATTCCCAAATCCAAATATACAATGCAAAGTTTAGCTTTGTCACCAAAATTATTTAAGTGTCTTGACTAATTTTGTGTCACAAACACTTTTATTCAGTATACAATCATACTTTTCTAACAAGAACAAACCTATTGAGTACATAAAAAAAAAAATGGTTACAATTCTCAGGAAGATTGTTAAACCTTGTACATCAGCTTCTTGGCTTGATCTAAGCAAATTCCTGTCCTTGAACGTGCAAATGAAGAAACTCCTGGTAAGAAGCATATTTCCCCCTTGATTGGCGCCCACGCTGAACGATTCTGGAGCCAGTGGACTAGCTGAAGATGTTACTGATTACTGAAGAAACTAAAGAAACTCTTGGTAAGAAGAGCCTTCACCCCTTTAGTTGGCCCGCGCAAGTTTGAACTCAGTAGATTTCGGATACCAGATGTATAAAGAAGAAAAAAAGGACACAAGCTATTATATCTCCTCATGTAACTATGGCTAAACAAGTTACTGATAGCTCTTAAGGAAAAAAACATTCCTAGGGAGCGCTCCTCCGGCCAAATTCAGTTAGCAAGATCCTCTTATAGTAATCAGACCGACTACGATGATAATCAATCCATACACATAATTGCCTAATCGCCTCTCGTTTTTCCTCCTTGAGAGACAACACTGATTCCTCTCTGTCCTTGATCATCTTCTCTAGTTCCCTAACTCTGTTCTCTGACTTCCAAACTTTCTCTCTGTACTTCAATATCTCAGATTCTTTGTCATCACATTGTGCAAGTAAGCAATCAAAGTCATCTTTCACGTGTGCCATTGCTTTATTTTTCCTCATCACCCAATCTTTTACAAATTGCAGCTCGCATGAATTCTTTGATATTCGATTCAAGAAATGAGCAGTGCATTCCTCAAACTTGAGTGCCACAGTGTCTAGTGAACCTAACATATCGCTAGCTGTCAACGATATATCCTTAATTCCCCTCAACCCCATTTCATTTCTTGCATTTTTCTCTTTTAGATCTTTGTTCTCTTTCTCGTATGAGTTTCTGGTTTTTTGGTACCACTCCTTGTTCTCGATATGCATTTGTTCTGCCACGCGGATCCTTCTGCTCAAGATTCGTAAACTGTCTTCAAATGACTTGCGTAGTTCCTCCGTTATTTCTCCTAGTTTTCTTTCAGCATTGTGGAAATTTAATTTGGAATCCTCTAACTTGATCTGCATTTGCTTATGTTCCCCTTTTGACTTGTTTACAACATCTTGCATCCCTCGTAAAGTTTTCTCCTGCTCCGCGATCTTGATAGTCAATTCGGTATTTTCCTGTTCCATCTGCACAAGGCTTTGGGAAAATTCATGTTTTTCCTTCTCAAGCTGAGACTGAAATCTTGATTTTTCAGTTTCCGCGGTTTGCAGCTGCTTTTGAATATTGTTGATTCGCGCTGTCAATGTTGAACCTTGAGCCGACATATCGTTCATGTAAGCCTCATGCTTCTTTTGAAGAATTCCCACCTCTGCTTCTTTTCCTAATAGTTTTGTTTCCAATTCCATGATCTTATCATTCAGCTTTTCTTTTTGTAACTCTGAATGATAAGCTTCTTGATTCATATCCATTATCTTCTCTTCCATGTCACATTTTGCATCCATGAGTGAGTTCACCTCCGATTTTAAGCCCTCCGTTGCTTTTGTTAGCCCCTTTTTGGATGAAGTAGTGCTCATTAGTTCCCCTTTCAGATTTTCTATCTGAAGATGATATTCTGATAGTTCTTGTGTTTTTTCTTGGAGTGACAACTCTAGTTCACAATTCTGGTTTCTTAAGGCTTCCAACTCATGTTGCAGATAATTAGTCCTTTCTGTTAAATCCTTAACTCGGTCAGATGCCTCGTGAGACTTCTTTTCGAGTGACAGCTCCAAATCGGATTTCTGTAGTTCTGAAAAATGTAAGTCCTTAACTTGTTTCGATCCTTTGTTGGTTTCATGTAACAACTTTTGTTCTAAGTCATTCCTTTGAACACGTACACGGTCCACATCTTGCTGCAGTGGACCATTTACGTGCTGCAGTTCTGAAAAATGTGTTTTTTCTGCCAAGTCCTTGACTTGTTCTGATCCTTTCTTGGTTTCATTCAACAACTTTTGTTCCAATTCATGCTTTTCAGTGTTTAAACGATCCACTTCATGCTGAAGAATGTGTGATTTTGCCATAAGATCATCTATTCTAGACGTTGAGTTGAGTAGATTTTCATCAATTTCTGTGAAGGTTGCTTCTAGCTCTAACACACGAGATTGCAGTCCCGAGTTACTATCTTCCATTTGCTTAAGTTCATTCGACTTGCACCCGAGTTGATCTTCAAGTTCTCTCTTTTGAACACATAAGTTATTTAGTTCAACCTTCATACTAGCAATTTGATCCTCTAACCCCTTCATTTGAGACAATCTCTCCTTCTCTCGAAGCTCAAAATCATCGGTCAGATACAAGATTTCGTCTTCTTTTTCTTTTACTTTCTCTTGGAACCATTCAGATTCATCTATAAACTTCTCTTCACCTTGAATCCTCAAGTCTTTGAAGAATTCCCCTGATTCAGACCCTCGGCTATAAGACATCGGTGTCTCAAAGTTTTCCATATCATAACTTTCGACACTTCCCCCCTTCACTTCAATATTTGAAGTTATAACTTTGTCCTTCAACATAGCATCCTCATCAAGAGGCTCATAATTGGTACAAGATGAACTACTTTTCGCGGTCAATTCCTCAGGGCTAAAATATGATTCTGAATTCGAACACGATGAAGAAGATTGAGATGATAAATCTCCCTCATGTTCTTCATTAAGTTTTTTCCTTACTTCCCCTCTGAGATTATCGTACACCGAATAGAGGGACTTGTACTGTTTGTGGAATTCATCAACAAGTTGAAGCAATTCTGATCTTCTCCTCAAATTTCCTTCTCTACTACCTTGGTTTATTTTCTTGATTAGCTTTGCAATCCTTTTTACTTTATTCTCAATTTCTGCAATAACAAACAAAACTCTTCAAGTTAGGATTCTCTTACTGTTACTCGGACTCTCCAAAAACAACAAAAAGCATAAAAGGCTATGTATGTTGCTTGGACTCTCCAAAAATAATGCAGCATGCGTGTCCGATCATCAAAAAATGCACTACTTTTGGAGGATCTGACACGCACATGGGGCATTTTAAAAGAGTTTAAGCAACAAAGATAGCTTAACATGTGCAAGAAAGTATTGAAGTCACATAATCTCAATGTGCATTCAATTGTTATGATTACATGATGATACAAATTGGGATGTAATTAAGGATCTAAGTGTGTATAAGTTATTATACAGTGCAATACAATCATACAACACAAGAAAATCTTATTGAACGACAACAAACGATACAGTCTAACCAAACTTTGTGTCAACCAGACAATGCAACAACAAAATCAAACAGGCCGCTAAGGTCTAATACCATTAGAACACAGAGGCAAACCAAGGATATAGAATCAGTAGGCTCAGAATGAGTTATACTCTTTTTGCCTATGTTTACATTGTTTGCATCGAAAACAATGAGTTCAGTTGAATCAACAAAACATGTTCTCAATAAGACAATACATGTTACACGTATACATTATCAAACAATAGAAAACAGCAAAACCAAACAGGCCATTCTTAAGGTTTGCCACCATTATACACAAAGGCGAATCTAGGATTTAAAATCGGTGGAGTCAGAATGAGTGTGATCATATTATATGCATGCTTTTTTATACTCTTTTTGCTTATGTTTACATAGTTCGATCTGAAAGCAATGAGTTCAGTAGAACCTACAAAAGTTGTTCTAAATCTGCCTCTGTGTGCACTTTATAATTGGTATGAACATATGATATAAAACTTGAATGTCATTACTCATTAAGGGGTCTTGGAACTACTCAAGTTAACATTAAGTTTCTGCCACCATTAAGCACTTGTTGACAGGATGTATCAGCAACTTACTGCGAACCAATTGGCATTCTGTATACCACATAAATCCACCACATTGGGGGTAAATTTGTGCTCGAACATTCGCTTTATATTGCCTTCTTTTTGCCTCTAACGCGTTATCCCACAACCTCCAATAACATTCAAAGGGTCGAGGTTGTTCTGGAATCGAATAATTACCTATTTTCATCCATTTCCACTGTTCTTCCTTTTCAGGATCAACATGACTCCCAAATGCCTTCATTGATTCCTTCCAACTTCGCTTCGTCATGTCTGCCTCCAAATTTTCAAAGGGTAGTAATGCTCAGAGTTAACTGGTACCTGTGCTGCTCGCGTCAAAATAGTAGCCCGGCCTAAATTTAAGAAAAAACAGGATCAACAAATCATAATAAAAACACTTCAAATAACTCGTTTTGATGTGCACAGTGACGGAGCCAAGAATTCAAATATAGATGCAAAAAAAGGCCAGTCATAACCAAACAAATCAAACATTCCATTGATGCTTAGAGTTAACTGGTACATGTGCTGCTCGCATCAAAATAGTTTAGCCCGCCCTAAATTATGACATATATAATATCTCTTTAAGAAAAAAGAAACAAATTAAAATAGAAAAGTAAATATCTGGAAGAGACCTGAATATTTTCTTCAAGATTCATCCAACAATTTATGACATTATGCTGTCAGAAAAAATTTCACCTAAATCATATATATGCTTTTATATAAAAAAAAATCCTTTTTAATGAGGTTGTTCATTTTTTTTCAAGAATCTGTTGATTTATTTTCATTCAAAGCCCCACACTATATTCCTATATCACCAATTTTTCATCCTGTTAAATTAGTCGATGTTTGTCCGGACACCATAATTACAAAAAAAAAATAGTCACCAATTTTTCAGCCAAAACATCATATATATATATAATCTGAAATGTTTTTTTGAAGCTAGAGATTCAAGATAGGTAATGAAAATGTTGAACATATATGAAAGTAAAAGAGATATCAAAGAGAAATATATTACCATGAAAAATTCACTATTTTCATTGGGAAGAATCAATTTTCTGGATTTTTATCCAAAACTATTTATCTCAAAATATTTCTTGAATTTGGGAGAAAAAAAATGAAGATATTTTATCTGAATCAAGAAAAAGAAAAAAAGGAGCTTTAAAGGAGTTGAAAGAGGAGGAAAAACAAAATGGGGATCACAAAATCAAGCATTTATTTTAATTTGACATTGTATTGACGTTATTCTAAATACTGATTTCACATATTGTAAATATAAAATATAAAAATTATGATTCTAGAAGGGTAAATATTGAGGCAAAAAATAATAATAGAAAATTGAATTAATTTAAGTGTTAATGTTGGATTTATACTTTTTAATCAAAGTAGTGAAGAATGTATCCATCATTAATAGTTGTTATTTTCCTTCGATTTTTTCTTGATCCATTGATCAATTTATAGCATTTGCCAATCTTTTAGAAGCCTAAAGTATTTTTTTTTTATACCTGTATCTATTTATTTCAGAAAGTTAAAAGCAGTATGACTAATCTTTTTTGAAAAAACATAAACGGTTCCAAGTAAAAGTGATAATTATATATTTGAAATTTTGGTCAAACATTGATTGATGTTCAATCTTGAAAAATATATATTTTAAATTATGTGATATAGCATTTATAACTACGACTTATAAATTATTAGCCAATCACGACATATAAATTGCAATCGGTGAAGGTGATTTATATATCGCATATGATAACATCACATTTGACAATTTCTTTCAGTCTTATACAATTATACCAAATGAGCAATCATAGTTCACAAATAATATATCAGAATAATGAATGAGATATCTTCAGTTTCTTTTATGAATAAATATTTGTGATTATAAACTTTAAAATACCCATAATTTTATAAAGAGTAGTAATTATCTATTCTTTGATATAATCATATCACTAATGAGTTTGGTAATTCGGTTTTCGACAGTATTTTATGTCCAGTCCTAATTTTATATTTTGTAAAATGATTCAAGCTTAATGGGAATAAATTGTTTATACGATGTGATATGATTATATTAAGAAATAAATAGTTATTACTCTTTATAAAATTATGAGTATTTTAAAGTTTGCAATTACAAAAATTTATTCATAAAAGAAAATGAAGATATGTAATTCATCATTGCCATATCTTATTTATGAACTATGATTGCTCATTTGGTATGATTGTATAAGAATTGAAGAAATTTTAATAGTTTTCACAATTGGCAAGTATTAATGTTTATTAGAAAATATATATACAACTTAAGAAATCCACATTATATATTCAAATAAAAACTTCAACTTCCAATCAATCTGATTTCAGATCACTTCCAATCAATCTGATTTCAAATCACGCTCCACAGCCTTTAATTTGTGTCTGGCGTCTGCTCCAAACGAATCAATATATGACAAATATTTTCAAATAAACTTAACATCTAACTACAAGTAATTGTAAAGGGTAAAGCTTAGATAAATATTCTGGAAAAAATAGTATAACATGTTAAATTATACACCACAAACATTCTTTATACCATAAATGCATGTAATTTTACAGTACTTGGTCAAGATTGATCTATCCTGCTAGCAAATCAGCCCTTGCTTAGAGAAGGGCCAATAATTCCCCTTGATTATTGAAAAAAGTAGGATACTTGTACCCACCATCGCAGTTTGGTCCGAAAATGCCCTTGCCGTTACTCAAGTAGCCCATTTATACCGTCAAAACTATCGAACCTCCACGTGTACCTTCATTGTAACATAATTCTTCAACCACTTCCTAGTTCTCTGTTTAAGTAATCAACAAACATCCTTTTTGCACTATCAGCATCTGAAGGAGGAGGTGGCCCGCTCAAGCTTGTCTGTCCAGCAAGTTTGATGAAAGTTCGTCGTAGCCTACGCAGCTCTGGCAGGCTGACAGATCTCGAAATATCTATAGTTGGTATTCCTGGACCAAGAGACACACCATTGAGAGGACCCCCAAGAGCGCGGGACTGAGCTTCCACAATAGCATTTGTAATTTCTTGTGTCGCCCTGTCCATCTCATATAAAGAATTTGCCTCAGAACCACGTGCACTCTGTGTGGCGATGGTCGGCTGTAGGATCTTAACATCTCTCGTTTTCGAGTCTACTTTTTTCGTAAGATAGGTAACAGCATCAACTATAGCTGTAGATGATTTATCAATTCCTTCTTTAGCTGGCCATAACTCGAACAATGGAGAATCCCATCTATTTTTGCTATCTGGCCTTTCAAACCTTCTTACAAGATCTTCAAATATATTATCATCATAAGATGGTTCTCCTCTCTCACGACGTTCGACGTTCCATGTTCTAGAAGATTGCTCATCAACGTCACAATGGACAACACAATATCTAATCCCTGCTGCTCTAGCCAAACACCATAACTCATATCTATAGCCCTTGATGCTATTAAGAGAATCTACTATGACTATACTGTCCTTCGACAAAGATCTGTCAACTTCTGACCTCAATACGCCTCTTAAATTCTTTTCCTCGGTCATGTTCGCATAGCTTTGGTTGCGACTAAGATGAAATGAAGTTTCATCTATAGTTCTAACAGATGGTTCTGGTTCCGTTTGTCTAAGTGCTTCAGATAAACAAGCTGCAGCGGTTGATTTCCCGCTACATGGCTGACCACAGATAACAACCAATGCCATCTACAACCAACAAAAAGGAACAAGTCATGAAATTAACCCAAGTAGCTTGATCATAAAATTACAATGGAAGTGTTTTCCGTGCAAAATTACAGCACAAAAATGATAACAAAACAGTGTAAACTACATTGTCCCTACAACAAATAATCTAGAACTCGTAACAACAAATATGTGTCTCCCTGTAGGGTAGAGGGGCGGGCCCATTATCCACCGAGTTTAGAAGGCTGTGATTGGTCCAAAGGGCGGGTCACAGACGGATTTCTCGGTTATCAAAAAAAATAAAATATGTGTCTCCCTGTTGGATTTAGATATGAACGAATGTTCCAATGCTTTCATGTTCTACAAGAGTAAAAGCATAATTATGCCTAAATATGACCATTGACATCTTCTCCCAATAAGTTGTATGCATTGTATCCAAATAGTGTTTCAAACTCGATGTTCCAGATTAAGAGTCCAATACGTTCTCCATGTCACAAAGTGTACATTGGGTTCCAAACTTTCCATCACTAGAAATAGCAAGCAACCTAACAAAAGTATCTCAAACAACAGTTGATTGTCTTTTTTCTGATCTAATGCAATTGACAAACTCTGTTCACAAGAATCACAATACCCTCTGTTGAGATCGCCAGTGGCAGACCCAGGATTTTCACGAAGAGGTGTCAATGGTTTATGGTTGTAGTAAAATTTTGTTCGTAAAGAAATTATTATGAGGCCATCAAGGCTAGAACACTCGTAACCACTAGACTAAACCTCTAACTTGTGTCAAGAAGTGTCAATACTTTTATATATATTTATTAGACCAAAATTTGACCTTTATATACAATATAATTTTCAGCAACTTCGCCAAGGGTGAGTCCTCCCCTAGACATTGAAACCTAAACCATCACACAATGAGCACGGACGGATCCACAGTTTGGGTTACAGACCAAGTTATCATTATACATATTAACTTGAAATCTAGGAATACATGAACTTCAAATAACACAGAAATAACACCACTAATGTAAACTTATGGATTCGAAATTCTAATTCATTTAAGTTAGTGAGTTCTAAATTGATAACTTGTTATATCGAATTGTAAACTCTACTCTAGCTCCAGCCCTGCCTCTGACCTCCATTAAAACGCCTCATCAATTCACCCAGAAACCAAAAAAACCCCAAATTCAGTAGGCTCAAATTCGAAAACACATATACATCTGAAGAGGCAAGATTAAACGAAGAATCAAAAGCACTGAGCAGATAAAGATGAAGGAGATACATACCTAAAAAGAGACAGGCAGATCTGATGAAGGCGAGGTGAAGTGTTAGTATAATTGTGAGAAGCACACTAGGAAGAAACAAAATACCCTAACATTAAAAAAATTTAATGTATTTATTGCTACTATTAATTAAGGGTAAATGGTCAAATATGTCCCTAAATTATTTGAAAAGATCTAGATATACCCTCCGTTTAAAGTTTGGCTCACTCATACCTTCGCCGTCCAACTTTTCGTCTAGATACGCCCTTATGGGGGTTAATTGGTCTGCTGGACATATCCACCTCATTTTTCATTTCTTTAAATGTCACATGG